AATTCCATATTACAATAATTATCTATACTATGGCTCAGTTAGAAAATGTGTATAACATACTATAATCTTATCAGAATCGTGAGTCTGTGCGATTGGTATTGCTTAAAAGAACCCACAAAAGAATTTTAAATGCATTAAAAAGGCAAATTCGGTTACTGTTAAATACAAATGTTGAATAAGTTGGCGCATCTACCTTATATCGATTTTCGAATCATTGAATATTGAGGTGATGTTCATGTATATAATAGGACTATATATTAGTTATCTACTATATTATGTAAATATAGCTTATTATAATTGTAGTTTTATCATCTATTTTATATTTGTATGTTTAACTATTCTATAATTACATTTAATTGCACCTGCTGTGGATGTAGTTTGTCTAAACGTATTTAATTGACGTTTCTGATACATGATAATAATTATATTATTATATTATATTGTCTTATGTATATAGATACCTGTAAAAGTAAAGTCAATTTGAAGGTAACGATAAAATATGTAATGTATTATATCTATACATGCGTGGTGACTAATATAATAAGTATAATAATAAGTAATAAGTATACTAAGTTATAATAAATATTATAACATAATGATATGTTATTATAAAGGTATAAGTGTAAATATTGTTTATGCATATTATACTTAAATATGATTTTTCATTTCCCTGCTACTAGGAAATGTAAATTATCTACTATTATCGCCTGTACATACATTTAATAAAAATAAAAAAACGTCAAGTAATGCGTATATATTATTATCAGGGCTCAGGACTTAATGCGCATAATATGCGTATTTGTTTTGGAAATATAAAATACATTTAGAAAAAATTGAATTCGAGTATCTGAATTCTGAATGTTATAAATTAAAGTGTATTGCGCATATAATTCAATTTGATTTAATAAAATTTATAAATTAATTTTATTGAGTAGTATGAATAACAGGTATATATATATATAATATACACTATATATTGCAATATTAAACATTATTTGTGTAATATTATAGTTACATATTTAGTATATGTTATCCATTATTTATAATATTCAAGTGCCTATTTCATCTAGAATTTTGTACGATATAGTCCAATAAATTATTATTATACACTGTACTAATAAGTTCCAAATTTATTCTCGGTGGATGAAATTAATTTATTTAACGACAGTGTTTATCTATAGTGTCTGTATGAATTGTTTATCAGTAACTGATTTTATGTTAATCCGTTTTGAAATAAGCGTATGTGTTCGTATATTAATTTCCTGTCATTTAAAGTCTTATAATAAAGTCTATTCGATACATTTATTATATTGTAGTCGTTATAATAATAAAATATTCGCATTTAAACATCGTCATAATAACACAGATAAATCTTTTTTTTTATCGAACAATAATATCATCGTGGGCGTAGCGTTCTTTTTTTGTTTTTCGATTAAGTATGGATTTATAGTCTCGTGGCCAATAAGATCGAACCACATGACAATTTTCAATCGAATCGCGTTGGCTGACGTCGTCGATAATGTTCTAATATTATGGAAATATGACGTTTCGTTGATTCCGTTGTATTTCATTTTTCATTCATCATATTATTATTTAAATGTACGAAAAACAACGCAAAAAGCCTCTTCAGCCATCGCTGAGTGGTATATGCAATATATATTCGTATGTTACAGGTAAAGTATATTATTTGGGTATTTTCTCAGACATCTTTTATAAAATGACCGGGCGTTATATAAAATGGCCTTCATAAATTGGGCAATATATATAATATAACATTTAATAGTAAAGTATTGTCAAAATATTAGAGCCAGACTAAGTACTGACTATTATTTGTAGATTTGGATTAGTTAGTGTGTTTTTCGTTTGTTCTTATCGATTTCCTTACAATCGGAAAGTCCACACACTAAATATGACATATTATATTATGATTGTAATGTTTATCGTATAATACCATAAGTAAGATCTTTTACTTATACCGGTTAAGCAGTGGAGCAACTAGGTGAGCGAAAAAGAATTTTTAGCACCCTCTAGTTAAAATTTAGTACCCCTTATTTTTTTTATACCTAACTGCTATTGTTTTAGAGAAGTATCACGACTCTGTGAGGCATAGTTTTAGCATCCCTTGTTTTAGAGGTCTAATTGCACTTATAGAGTTAATTCTCGTAATATTAATTTTTTAGAAACCACGGACCATTTGTATAATGTAGTTAAATTATGTACCTACTAACTTATAATTAAAATATGGAAAATTTTAATGCAGATTTAAATAATTTGTTAAAAAAAAATGTTTCAAATAATTAATTTTTACCAAGATTTATGGAAGCAGTACATGCGAAAATAAATAATACAAAAATAAAAATAAATATTATATTTTCTAATAATATAAATATTACAGTATGAATATATATTATCATTATTATCCATTATATTTCGACAATACTATTAAATATTATATTATTTATATTGCCCAATATACGAAGGCCATTTTATGTAATGCCCGGTCATTGTATAAGATGCCCGGGCATTGTAGAAAACTCCCAAATTGTTTACTTTGCCCGTAACATATATGATATATCGACGTGTATGTTTACTGTATACCTATATTACCTATATAATGTTATTGTGTGACTAAACATATCTATGCGTACTATTCATGCAAAACGAAAACGCCACAAACACGTTATTATCGTAAGAAATAAGTACTTATGAGCTACGTTGTATAGTATATACAAGAGAAGCAGAAAAAAGGCATATTGAGTAAAGATGCAGTTCGTATTTTTAATGGTTTTTTCGACAACGACGCGATGTCGCGACGTTCGGAAAGCTGAATTACTATGAGGTATATACATATTAAATATACACACGTAAGCCTTTGATGGAGTTTTCGAAGATTACGGTTTATATGCCCACAATATAAATAAATATTTTTTACATTGTATACCCCTTTAACTACCTTATTCTTATTATGTGGAAGTATATTTGATTTTGATTTTAGGTTTAAGCCACACACTATATATATGCGTGTTTGTCGGGATAAAAGGAAAAACGCCTTCACCGTGTGTCGAGTGTATATTGTTATGTACCTATATTTTCTATTTTAGCGGCGGTTTTATAAAATATTTAATATTTTTTGGTGGTATGCAAAAATATTGCTGTGGAAAACTTTAATATAATAAAAATATTTAAAAAAATGTTCCTACGAGTTATTGCGTTCGTATTTATCACGTACAAAAATTATTAAAAGTAATAAAATACAAGCGTCTAAACAGTTTATTTCGTCGTTATAATATTTCAGTCTTATGGTGTTTTAACCTATAAGTTGAATATCATATAGCGGCATTAATATTGTAAACTGTACTTCATTATAGATAAATGGAATAATTTAAAAATCTAGACTACGTTATTTTAATATTATATAGGGTTACAAGGATGTCTATGAAAAATAAATTCAATAGAGATCTTTTTTTTTAATTGTGGAGGTGAAAATACGCATAAAATTTCTAAATAGTGTGTACGTGAAAATTGTAGGATTTTGTATATATATACATACAACATTATAAACTATAGTACTTGTAAATTGTACTTATAAATTGTTGCAATATATCTATGAAACATTAATGTTAGATGTGTAAATTTTATAAAATTATATTTTACTTCTAATGTATTTGCATCAAGTTATACTTATTTTTAATGATTTTTTAAAATACATTCGGTTTTTACATCATGATAAAATAACATAAATACATTTTAATTTAAATAACTGATTTTTATAACTTTGTCATTTCCCAATTATTATTCTTTAATAATTAAAGAATAATAAATAATAATAATAATACTAATTAATTATTGATTATTAGTTTTCGATTGGCAACGCACATTTTCCTAACGTATATAATAATAAAACATATCAGTAAGAGTCGACATGTTTTATTTACATTACCTCCCTTTGTGCGTGCTGTTCATATAGGTCAATTCGATTTAAAATACATTAAATACGTTGGTTAATTCAAAAATTGAATAGCCAGATTTTTTTTATAAAATTTAAAAATGTAATTTTTTTTTCAAGTTCAAGAGAATTAAAAATATAACAAACTGTTATTATTGATTATAATATTACAATAGCACTACATGGTCTATAACAGGGGTCATCAATTAATAATTTTGAAGGGCCACATTAAGAATTTGAAATTTTTTCGTGAGTCATCAAAATTCTAAATACCTGTATTTAACATATAATAGGTATTATTTTTAATTGTATGAAATAGGAATATTATTTTTTTATTTACTATTTGTCATTATTTATAAAAATTAAGAACATAATTAATATTGAAAAAATTGAAAAATTGAAAATAAAAATTAATTATAGATACAATAACATATTATATTATAATTTTGTCATAATAAATGTTATTTATTCTTCGTCTGTGGATCGGATAAAATTTGTTCGTGGGCCGCCCATTTGGTGACCCCTGGTCTATACAATAACAAAAGTCTATACTAAAGAAAAGTTATCGACTGGTTTAAGCATGGTGAGACCCCATGTATGTAATATATATTTTATTTTCACATGCATAACAAAGTAATTATTTATACAATATACAATGTTATAAATAATGTACCTATAATGTATTTTTTCTAACGTGGGACAATTACTATGGTTTTTTTTTTTTTTTATGTGAAAATAAGTTTTATCTGATTATATAATTATTACTTGTAAATAAAAAACACGAACAAATATTATAAATTCCATTGTAAAGTTTTTCGAATATTATTTTTATATTTTTCAACAGAAAGTATACTTGTATATATTATATATGTATTTACACACGTTACATGCATATCTAAAATTAGGTACTACTTAATATAATTAAGTCGGACGTTCAAAAAAACATTCTTGAGACTCAAATAAAATGATCGTATAAAACTAAAAGGGTTTAAACAGTGGTTATTTTGAATAACTAAAAGATAAAAAACTAAATAAATATTATTTTTATGTTTAGTCGTTGGACAACCGTGATCGAATTTCAGTCATTATACTGAATGCATCTCAAAGAAGCCATATACACGCGAGGTAACACCTTGCAGGGACGTTCGTCGGTTATCGAATAACACAATCAAACTGCACGTAATACATTTCAATACATACGTAACATATGAAGCACGATGATGAGTTGATTATTATTATTTGAGCTCTTTACAATATTCCAATGATAATAATAATAGTTTGTCAAAAATTTTCAGTATAAAAATAACTACTCGAAGTGCTTATCCCCCTGAACGACCAACGTTGTGAGTCTCAACGGTGAAGAATCATTGACTGAAAAAGAATAATTAATAAAAACGTGTTTGTTGTAGTGGCAACAACATCGAAATCGGTGAGTATTATATGTACCTATAGAGTTAGTTTTATAGATTTCATTCACATTAATTATCGTACTTTATCTAGTATTAAAACTACTATTTTTTTTTATAACCAAACAACTAAGCAATAAAAATATTACATTCGCATTGGCGTTAATTGAGGATCCTAGTCCCTCAAAAACTCGTCTATGCTCCAATATAAATATTTTTGATGTAAATGATTGGAACCCAAGTTTACTTAAATTGTTAATATAATACCTAGCACTGCGCTTGTCGTAAACGTTTATGATAATAATTCGACGTTACTTTACATTTATTATTGAACATATATATATTTTAGAAATAGTTATAATAATGGTATTACTAAAGTAGTCTTTGTATTATTTATAGTATTATCAGCGGTTATATTTGTCTAGTTTATGTAGAACCCGGGCGTCGATGCGATACCATCTCTAACTCGTTTGACTAATTATTTTAATTACCATGAACCCTAACTCATATGATAATAATATACGATGTATATACTGTAGTCACACGCTCGCAAACGTTCGTCAGCTGCAACAGCCGTTCGTAATAAAAAATTTGATATGATGTATTATTACAACTCTCGAAACACACGCAGAGTGGTCGTCAAATATTATACTGCACACACTGTAGTGAGACAAGCGCTTTCGATCGTGCAGGAAAAGATATTTTATTGGAGCGTAAGAAAGAGACGAATTTTTTGCCTTCCTTAAAATATGCTCGTGCGACCACCGGAGAGATCGTCATCGTCACTGTCACACACGTGTACCACATATGTCAGCGGGAGGGCTGTACGGGTCTGTTTTTTTGCTCTTGTTTTTTTATTGTGATGGCATTTTTTTCAGACAATTAATCGTCATTACTCACATGCACACCGAGAAAACACACGAGATTTAGTGATATTCTCAGTCTATGTTATATTGTATATGTATTTGTATAGTGATTTTTTTTTAAGCATTCTCGCTTCATGGTTCTATAATAATATATTTATTCTCCGAATTCTGATTTTTGAATTTTTTAGATCACCTAAAGATCGTATTTTTAATAATATTGCCTATACTATTTCAGATTTATCTTAATATGGTAATAAAACTCAACATATCATTAAATTAGCAGCAGCAAATATTTTTTTAAATGCCAATACATTGAATTTAAGGTACAAAAGATAATATTGAATATTTAAGTATTGATATTACAAAAAAGTATGAATTTAGAACCTGTAACTATAAATAAAATATATGTTAATCACTATTAATAATAAGTCAATTTAATTATCTTAAAATTACCTATGTTTTATTGAAAACTATTAACCATTGGTTCCAGATATATATAATATTAAATATGCCTAATTATAATTTTAATTAATTTAAATTTTTAATAGATTAATTTGAATATTACACGATGTAATTTTTATTTCAATATATTAAATAAATCTGATTAAAAACTCGCAAAAAAAGGTTTTTTTTATAAAAATCATTCTTTATTAGCCATATACATAAAAAAATTGTCTTTGAGGAGCACACACTTAAAAATTCAAAAAATAATTTTGAAAAGTAACGCTTATAATTATCAAATTGTAAAAACGGGGTGAGCTATAAAAAATCACATTGTATATAGTTCGTCAACCAGTAGAATTATTACGATAGTGTTTCCGATTGTCCACAGAGTGGATTCGAACACCTCTATTTTTAGAGTGATCACACGAGAACGAAACTGAGCCGAGTGACTTTCAACGCGAGCTTTGCGCGTGCATCACCGTTTCTACCTATATACTATATTGTTGGCTATCTTCCACAGAAAATCGCTGCAACAGAGAACGCATGTGACGCGTTCCAAAATTGGACTACGTACACGTATATGCCGCGCGTTCGCATATGTATAATATTATGTGCTTAGGATAATCAATATCTCATATCTGTACACACTAAACTAGGTCAACATTTACAAGTTCGTACAGCAATCTTTAACAACGACAAAATTGTTTATCACGTTGCGTCTATGTAACATATGCATCCTTCCTTTAAGGGTGCATTAACCATAGTTTAGAACAGGGATTGGCAAAATTTTTGGTGTCAAGAGTAAAAAATAAAATAAAAAAAAATGTTCACGGATCATACACCTTATTTTATTTACATTTTACAGTTTAATTTAATTTATTTAAGTTTCATCATCATTTAGTACCTATATGAATTTAATATGGTATATATTAACAAAGTTAGGTTATCAACTAACATAATATGATATTTCATATTTTTATACCAATTATAAATTGTAATTGCGCGAGCCATAGGTTGCCGACCCTAACGTCGATTTAGGTTCAAGAAGAAAAGAAAGGAAAGAAGTTCAAAAGTTGCAAGTGCATGTAAAATGTAGCTATGTAGTAAATTTTTAATATTTACCAAACCTAAACTTACAATAATATAACGAGAAGTAAATTTACTCATTAAACTTAAAAACAACTAGAACTAGCTATACTCTCTTTTAGATGGTTTTTAGATTTTGAGAGAAGCGATTTTACAATGATATGTACTACTTTTTTGTCTTCAAAAAAATGCTTAGGTTTTAATTTGAGGATTCTAGAATAGAAAATTTGATTTATTTTGTAGTTTGGAGAAATCGAAATTTAAAACTACAGTATTTTTCAAAATAATCGGAAAAAATAAACAAAAATAAAGGAAAAATAGAAATTTTATGTAAATCAAATTTTTTACAAAATTGATTTTATTTTTTTTTTATGTATCTCAAAAATCAATAATTGTAGATTTTGAAATTTTCATAAAAATGTTTTATAATTATATTTTTCATACATAGTAAAATTTAAAAAATATTTCGATTCTTTTTGGATTACTTATGAATATTTCAAAATTAAAATTTTTTTTTTATAAATGTTAATAAAAAAAAAATATATGCTAGTTAAAAATATTTGAAAATTTCATACAAGATTCCACATATTAAGTTTTTCATACAAATATCTAAAAATGTTTAAAGTAAGTACATAAGCTCAATTTATCTTGATTATAAGTATTTGAAGTTAAAATTTTGACATTTCTCAAATTCACGAAAATTTGTAAATCCTTTAGTATTTTAAAATTTTTAAAATGTGAAATTTTTATAGTTAAGACTTCAAAATGTAAAACGAAGTTTTCCATGAGTCATTAGTGATTTATATTAAAACTAAAAATATATAAACATAATTTTTAGACATTTTAAGTTCAAATTTGGACGAAATTACATATTATTTAAATTATGAATTATGACAAGGGCATATTTAAGGGGAGGCTCATGGGGCCTGTGCCCCCTTCCCCATTCACCGTATTTGATCACTTTTTTTTCATTATTGAGATTATTAGTCTCTTGGGAAACTGGCAGCCTTTTTTATCTGATAACCTTTTTTTTGTTTTCTATGATTCTAGCCCACTTGATTTTTTTCTTTTTGGCAGTATATTTGGTAAAATTTTAAGCAGTGTGTGTCCTCTCCTCCTCTCTAAAAACAATTCTAGATATGCCCCTGAATCACAATATTCATTAATTTGTTATAGTTTAAAAAAGTTATTGGTGGGGACATAAAACATTTACGTATATATTATTATATTTTATACACATAATCAGAGGCGCCGAGTCATATAAATTTAAGTGAAGCAAAACCAAAATATTTATACACCTCCACTACTGAGAATGTTATCTACCTCTAATAATTAATAATTTAAGTTATTTATTTAATTATTTAGTGTAGGTATTATATAATGAAAAAACAAAAACATATATACAAATAAAACCACCCACTATTTTTTTTATATGAAGTGATCGCTTCAGTTCATATATAGGTTTGGTGCCACTGCCATAACGATATTTTTTAACGCAATATTTTTGTCAAAAATTATTTCAACTTACAGTATTACTAATATTAAAATAAATTATTTTTTCTGGTAACAATTTAAAAAAAAATAACATAAAATATACTTAGTAATGGTTAATAAACTGTATAGAATCACTTTTCGTAAACATTGATATATCATTTAATTTAAATTTAACATATCCATTAAAATGAATCCCTCAAGATCTATCGTACAGCAGAGCGATGCCCACTTGCTCAACTTTTTTATAATAGTTGGTACACATTTGTCTAATACGGCGGGTAGATGTGTCGTTTAAATCTATTTCATGATTTTGAAAATAAACTAAATATTTAAACAGTAGAATTATTTTTTAATGTTGATATCTATAAATATATCCACAATTCAAAAATATAGTTTAATTTATTAATAAGCATTTCAAGCTTATATTAGCAGAATAAAATGGTAAAGAAAAATTGTGATTTAAATTACCAACTATACCTATTAATATAGTTATGTCCATTTCACTTAAGAAAGTAACAACTGTTACAGTTGTAAGAACTTTAAACGTTTATTATTAAAAAAAAGAAAAAAATTATGTGCAATATTCACGATATTTTTACATATTTTTTTTAAGTGTTCTACTCCTGATCACTGTATAAAAATATCTAAAAAACCACTAAGAAATTATATTTTTATGTAAAATTGTAGTGGTATACTAATATTACTAATACATGAATAATTTTACAAGTATACTTCAAGCCGTATAAAAACAATTTTTTCAAAATAAAAAAATCACGACCCTGCAGTATTACATATGTAATATGATGGAAGCACTATTTCTGTCTATAAATCTTTTTAAATAATACCTGCCGGCCTTGTGTAGTTATAACAAATACGTGTGTTTCTTGCGTTTGCGCCATGCCATAGCGGTCTTACGACACGCATAAATACGCATATATCTATGCGCACATAATATCATAATAATATAAATCGTATTTCCTGTACAGTATATATATATGATATAAATTATACATAAAACAATTTGTACCCGCACATAAAGTGATACAAGCGATTAATAAATTTTAGAGAATACGCGTAATTTCGAATAGGTAAACGTTCTTGTATGAGATAAAGATGATCAGCGGAATAGGTAT